TGATGCCCAGTCTAAAATAAAGATAAACATGAGATTAAAAAGTGTATCGCATCTCCACAATCCTGCATTGTGAAGGCAGTCTAGCTGATGGTAACTACCACTGAGGTCTAATTTATGAAAGACAACAGCACAATTCAGGTCATGAATAAGGTCATCAGTTGTTAGTGTGATGTACCACTCACACTTTATTGCAGACTTAGGCAGGTGTATCTCAACACAAATTCAAACCTTCTCTGAATTCTTTGGCTTAGGATTCACCACTATAAGTGAAACCCATGGTGTTTGTCCAGTGACTTTTCCTATCACCCTTTGTTTCTCCAGCTTTTTGTAGTCATCAAGGAGTTGGCTGACGAGGGCTGAGTTTGCAGGCTTGAAGCAGTGGACAGTGAGTTTCTTATTTTGAGCAATCCTAAACTCTGTAGCTGTCTGGTAGTTGAGAAGTTGCCATTAGTGACATATAATGTTGTAGGAACACTGTAACACTGTGAACACTTGGAGCTTACCATGGCTGTGTATATGCTTCTCAATGGTAATGCCTCTGTGGACCCAGACACAACTATTTTAGCCTTTGAGTGGTGCAGTTTGCCAGTTTGACCTTGATGTTTTCATAGATGGTTTTATCCGCTAGGTTAACACTGGTGTGTTGAAGATGTCAACCTGAATGTGTGGTTGTGTAGGCTTTTGTAACATGCAAACAGTGTACACACAATCATTATCTGATGAGGTGTCATTCTTTCCAGCAGGGTCACTGGGTGATGAATTACTCCTTCATTGCGGTTGGCTGCACTGTATACTTGCTCTGTGATTTTCAAACTTTCTGAAAATTATTCAGTTTTCCACATGCTCTGTGTTCTTTTGCAGGACAATATAGTGGGTGAAACTGCTCACCACATTTATTGCAAGTTTTCTGTTTATGTATTTTGTATATTAGATAGTTGGTGCAGTGTGCTTATGAGATGATTTGCTAAAGGGCTGATTATACTGCATGCACTGGCAAGTCCCTTCTGTTTGATTGTGTGCATTTTCAGGACTCTTTGCTTTCCATTTGGACATAGCATCAAGCAGCTGTGTGAGGGTAATGGTGTTATGAGGAATTATCGCTCTGAATTATCTTTGACTTTATTTCTTTGTCCACATCATTGAAACCACAAACCGATATTATGCCTGTACAAAAATCTGCCTATATTAAGACATACATTTTAGGATGTCCTCAGACCACAATGTCAGGTTTCACACATGAGTGCAAAGTTCATATAACATTCGCATTTCTACACTTTCTTGCTAGATTAATTGAATTAAGTTTAAGTTTTTAAATATGTTTTTGGCCAAATTAAGGATCACAAAATATTACAACATTTTACTGAACTCTGTTCTTCTATTTATTTGACAAAGATTTAGCTTCAACACTGTCAGCAGCCCCGCTCCCGCATCTGCCTCAGTGTAAGAGGCCATAACAAAATTACTGGACGAAAAGGTAAAGAAAAAAAAATCCAGCATGGGTACTCTGGTTACATTACGGGTCACTTTGCAAATGATGATAAAATGCATGATCACAGATTTATAGCTGTGCTGTACTACACTGTCTGTTGGAAAAGTGCCCTTAGTCTAAAAACCCCTTGATGTATTGGGGAAATGTTATATTTAGTGTACATTTTGCTTGGTCTTGCACACTGTACTTCAGGACATTCGAGACAGGCCAATAGTGTGCCCCTGTCATGGAGTCTCCTACTCTGGGGAGACTACACTTAGGTTCTCCCTCATGCAATTTACTGATACCAGCTTTAGGTCTATGCTGGCCCCATCCTAGTTAGTTTCAGGACTCATTAACTACATTACATGTACACAGTAGCCCAACAACATTCGTAGTCTAAGAAACTGGATGAACCAAGACATTTACAAAAATAAAAAAATGTATACAAAAAAATCCTTTTATAGTCATATTTACATGCATACCAGCAGAGTCTGATCTCCTTCATGACGCAAAGTTTATCCATGTTTGAGTTTTGGCATTTTAAATATATCAGCGTTCAGTTTTTCTTTCTATTTAAGTATACAATGATGTCCATTTAAACATTTAACACAAGAGACATCAATTCCTTGCTCGAAACATTCAAACCCCTTTCATCTTTTGCTACTTTTTATTGTTTTCCTGTTATTTTGCTGTCATCACGTCTGATACTACAGAGAGTGCAACAAAATGGCAAAAAGTGAGAGTCCGTGGAGTGATTTAAAGCATTTATATTTCCAAGTCTATTGTATATAGTCTAGCCTATATCCTGGACCATATAGTTTTAATTACATTAAGTTTAGTTTGACTAGTCGGACAGTATAGTGTGATATTAGTTAGACTAATATCGAACATGTAGGGTGCATGTAAATTTAATAACTTACACAAATATGCTATTTATACCACATTGTTTGTCTTTGTGCTTTGCAAAGTCGTGGTATTTACATACTTCCAAACCTTTGTGCTTACAGTTCTCAGTTTTTCCTGTGATTTCACCCTGGTTCTGTTTTGCTATCTTCAATTCTAAGATAGCCTCTTACTTTTGGTGTGTGTAGAACATTAGGGGTCACTGTAACTGCTGAACAACTGTTTCTCAGCATCCATACATCCAATCAAGCAGAAATTTCGCAAGCACCATATACTAGAGAGATTATGATGTGAATTTTTAAGGACAACTTGATACATCGAAATATATGGCCGCCATCAGGCAATCAGCTTTCACCAGGCATTTGAAAGGCTTAACATTGATCAATCATCAACTTAAACGGTTTGTCTATGTAGATACTTTCTAACAAACAGTAAAGTTTCAAAAGATTTGGCCACTGAGGAGCGCTATTCATTACAATCAGGTATACATGCATATTACACATGTTATACACAATGTATTACATGTATATATTTTTACCTAGGGTCACAAAACTGGGTTCAGATAATGCAGTACAGTATTCCAAACAACTTTGCAAATAGAGCTATATCAGAAAGTTTACCATTAGTCCTGTATTTTCGACATACTTTGACCAATTTTAGAGTGTTCTACAAAGTTCAGTGGATCAGTACATATGAAGTTAAGCATGTTTCATGTTTAAAGGCCACTGTCAACAATTTGGGCAAATAAAGACCTATTGATAAACTCTGATTTCCTTAGATTTTTCATCCTCTCTCAGTAAGTAAGGATAAAACGGCATTAGGCCTTGTTAGGCCTCACTGGTTGGTCAATGTGACAGAATGCCACATTGTTCCAATTCATGTGTGAACCCACAGATTGCTACTTGCTGCTATATTTATTCTTCTGCTTCTCCTGAAAAACATGTTGTGGAGAAGACATAGATAACCCATTCAGACATCAAACTTGCATCTACCCAGGCAAGAAAAATTACACAGATTAGCCTGATGGTGACACTATGGAGCAACATTTTACTCCTTGGTCCATATCTCCTGGGACATGAGACATACAGTCAAAAATTCTTGCTTCAAATGAATCCTTGTATAATTCCACAAAAAACGCCTTACTGCAAATATATAGCTCCATCCCTAAATTTTGCATAATAATGACCTAGTATGAGATTTTTCATGATACCCCCACAGTTTAAGTGTCATAAATTTCACAAGAGTCTATAGGTTAAGAATTATCATAATAGTTTCTCAGCTGCTGCATGTCTGACTGAGCTGAAGCTTTGCAAGCTATATCTGTGAGGTACTCTATAAAGGACTTCTTAAGGACAACTGAATTTGATTGCAATCAGCCAATCTGTTTTAAGCGGGGTTTTGACTGGCTTAACATTGGCCAATCTTCATTAAATTTGAAGGGTATGTACATGTTGGCATTCTTTAACAGCCCATAAAATTTCATATTAATTGGCTGTTAGGGGGTGCTGTTCTTAAAAAAACAAGCTTATGTCCAGTTACTTTTGATTTGAAGAAATAAAATTCGATTTATGTCATGCAGTGCATGGAGACTGACAAAAAAAAAAACTTTTTTATTTTTCTGCAATTATACAAAGTTTGATCAAACTGATTACAAACTAATCTCTCAATCTTTCATAATATTGTCTCAAAAATGACTGTCTGAAATCAAATTATTACCAAAAAAATGTTGATTTACCCTTTTGTGATAAAACTTGGGAAAAATGTAGAAAAAGATAAACTGAAAACACTTTACTAATTTATTAATTTAATTTCTAATAATATTTCCCAGTAATAAAATCACTGAAAGATGGGATTAAAATGTTAAAATGGTGCTTGACCCCGATTTGCTCTCTACATTTAAATGGTCTCAAAAGGTGCCAAATTAGTTTGAGCCATGTGTGGCTTACCATATATGCTGTTGCCCTTCCAACCCTGAGGTGTATGGTTTGAAGCCCAACTCAATTGCCACTGAAGAATATCAAATGTATCTAACTTTTGTCACAAACATTTATGTTGTCTCAAAGTTTCTGCACCAGTACAAACCTTTCTGGTAAAATGCCTGTCTTCAAATCTGAGGGTTGGGTGTTTGACTCTTAGCTAGGCTCTGTGTTGGAAAGTCACAAGAGATAAATGTTGCTTTTTAAAAATGTTTTTAAACAGTTAAAGCTTCTGTAAATGTAAATGTGGGCGGTATGGGCTGTGATAGCTGTGTGTCCTATGAAGGCTGTGAGTTACTTGGACCTCTATGATGGCTGCAGCTATATTTACTTATGTTTTTCCTACAGATTTAAATGCAGAAGTGACTTTTGTCATAGTTCCAATTGAAACACTAGCCAGCTGAGCAGTATTTGTGCCTGAAGCCCCTGCTACTGATGCCCCAAAAATAATAATAATAAAAATGAACATTATAAATCACTTTCATCTTTTCCTCTTATCATGTTGATCTAAAATCAAGTTTTTTTCTTTGTCTCCTTTAAAGTCAAGGGATGCTGACAGCGGAGAGTGTATGTCAACATTGGATACATACACAACTCTGCATAAGTTGTGTACTTTTACATCTAATTATGTCCATGACTGTGTTTTTCAGATGGTTTTGTGAAGGTAAAGAATTGGAAAACAGCCCTGATATTCAGATTATCAATAATGGTGAGCTGCACTCACTGATTATTACTGAGGCTTTTGAAGAAGACACAGGACGCTACTCCTGCTTTGCCTCTAACTTTTGTGGCACGGATTCCACATCAGCAGAAATTTATATTGAGGGTAAGTAATGTTACCATCTCCATTTTTGTAGATTTTTATTTTTCTACATCATTTAAGCATAGCAGCTGCCCTTTTACATTGTTTGCCATAATTGTGTGCCATTTACATTGTGTGCAAAATTTTGAGTGGACCAACAGAAATACTTCTAAATTGCATGGTATAAAATCTTACATTAAAAGTAAATAACATTTTTGCCTACTCCTCTAAAATTGCCTTTTTGTTTGGACAGCGACAATATCACTATTACAAAGAGATATTACTTCTAATTTGACATTGTTAACATATTTCTGTAGGTGTCACATCTTCTGATTCTGATGGAGAGCAGTATTTTGAATCACAGTGAGTCTTAAAAGAGTTCCATTTCTGTATTATAATACGGTCTATATGTTTTACTTTCATAAAGCAATCCCCCCTTCTATGGATATACAAATTGTAAATACCCCTAATCCTACATGCACCCACCTTCTGCCCCTGTAATAGTCATGGAACATTTTATTTATTTTAACACCTTGTTTTATTCAAAATGTTTGTGTACAAAATTACACCTAGTGGCATACTTCATGCTGTAATTTAAGCCATTAGTGTCTATATCTGATATGTTTTATTTGGTCTATATGTTCTTTGGGCTTGCTTAAATATAAATCTGAATTATGTTTAGTCTTTGATTATATAAAGAGACTGATTTTTACAAAAACAATAGAAAATATCGTAAAGATCAAAAACTGCTTCTTATTTTTGGTTTGAACATGTGGGTAATTCAAGAAGTTACACAATACATATACCAGACATTAGCACTGATTTAGACATTTCTTTCCTTAGAATGCACAAAAGAGCTTCACCGCCCAATGTCACTATACTTGTAGAGGCCCCCACTACATCTCTGAATGATGAAGACTCAACATCCCCTTGTTTCAACCAATCAACACCACCAGAAAACTTTTCAACTTTGCCCAATCCTCCAGCCTCTCCTATCACAGCTGCTGGAGGAGACACACAACTTGGTCAAGTAAAATGTTCTACAAAACCTGTCAAGGAACCACCACCTGTACCAAAATCTCAGTTGATTTCCACAGCACCCAATGGCCAGTCAGTCAATATGCCAACAACAGCTACCCTTAGTCAAGAAACTTCTAATTCTCTGTCTACAGCTCAACAAAATTTTACTGAGGTAAGGTCTCCTCTTCTGCTGCAGTAACAGCCTCTATTCTTCTGTGAAGGCTTTACACCAGATGTTTGAACATTGCTGTTAGGATTTGATTGCGTACAGCCACAACAGCATTAGTGAAGTCGGGTACTGGTTCTGGACACAAACAGCACTCCAGCAAATGATTTAACTGGTCCTCCATCACTCCAGAGAACTGGGTTCCACTGGGAATATCAAATTTATCCAATTTTCCACTCACTCTAGATTCAGCAGATAATGTTGCTGACAAACACTAGAACTCAATAATCACCCAAATGGCCCAGATTATCTCTGCAAACATGTATCCCTGAAACTTCTCTCAACCACTTCAAACTGTATCCAAGTCTTAATTAAGGTTGCATAGACTTAGACTTACTGATATGGTTTACAACACAGTATGAATTAGTGTGAGCTATAAAAATGAACAAAACTTCCATGGGCAGCTATTTCAGAGAACACCAGAGCTGATGTTCACAAAGCAGGACTGGTCTTGGATAAGATTCCTCTGTATTTGACGGTCATTGTCAGAAATACAAATTCTATATTAGCACTCCTACTTCTGAGGTTGTTTGTGAATACAGAACTTGCTGCCCACAAGTTTGATCATTTTTATAGTTCACAGTACGTCATACTGTGTCCTAACCCACATTGACAAGTCTATCCATAAAATGAAAAAACAAATTTCCCTCGCTTTTTTTATTAAAAAAAGAGTTTGTTGTAGTATGTAAACAACGTAATGGTTTCAAAATAAACTGCTCACTACTCAGTCTATATGGTCCACATATGGACAATATATAAACAGCCAGTTTTGAATTCATTGTTTCTGTGATATCACAAGAACCAACTAGTTTACATATCACTAAGCAGTGTTTCAGCTTTGAGTGCTTTTTGAATGAGGCACAATACAAGATGTTATAAGTGGACCCGAAGGAAAAAAAACACAAGAAAATTGTAGGATATGGGCCCTTTAATGAAGAACTGGATAAAGTTTGACAAGGAAGACATTCTGATGATGTATTTTTACAGAACTATTTGAATGATCCTTGAGTTCTAGTGTTGGTTTACACTGTTAGCCTCACTGCTCCAGTTCTAAACAACATTTAGACTCCAAATGTCTTGGTTGATTGCCTACAATTCAGGTATGTGGAAAATTGTGTAAATTGTATATTTTTCCAATTTTGGATATAGTATATGTATGGGCAAGTAACTGATAGGCACAAGACAGTAAGTTATATGTTTGTAGTAAGCTGATATGGTAGGTCTCTTGAGGAGAAAGCCATACCTACACTTCACTCTGTCTGTGCTGGGAACGCATGCCGCTCTCAGACCACAGTAAAATGGCTTTTCAGATATTAAGTTGGTTTAATGACCTGAAACTAAATTCTTGTTCACTAACAGCATTGTAAATAAGAGCTTAAATAGGCAGAGCATTACTAATGTGAAATTTTGTGTATTTTCATACCATGATAGAGATTTTATTTATTTATTTATTTATATTTGTATATTCTTTTTTTTAGAATGAAAATGGTTATCCACAAGGCTTAGATGGAAGACCTATAATGGCTGCACCTGTTTTTACAAAGGTATAGAATGTGAATTTTAAAAACTCCTTGCAACAGTGCAACATTTCACTGTAAAAGAATAAATTTGAAATTTTGTTTCAGATTTTCATATTTGATAAGTTGACAGCAACATGGGGTGAGAGATTTTTTGGTCAGTGTGTGAATTCAATCTTGCTTTTTTGGTTTATAATAACAATATCATCGGGCTGGCAGATTTATGAAAAAAATCATTCTAAAAAAAAAAAACTATCAAATTAACTTTTTTTTGCAGGATTCATCTACATTTCCCTAAAGTTAGTCTAAACCAACACAGACTACAAACATCTTAAAAACCGATTTATAATTGAGGATACTATTTATAGTAATAATAGTAAGAGATCAAATTGTTCTTTTTCTTTTTTGTTTGTTTCTTACACTGGGACATACAATGGTACAAAGGTAATGACTCACAAAAACATCCATTTAAAGGGTGAAGACATTGTTCAAAAATAATGTTAAAGCACAATGACGATGTAATTCACAAAATTAAACGCATGTGAGTGGTGATATTCATGTTTTTGTAATAATTATCCTTTAATTTTCACCATCTTCTTCAATTTTTTTCAAGTGGTTGCTTAATGTCATGATACTGTGAAACCATGATATTTTGATTAGGTTATTATACTGTGAAAATGTCAAACCATAGTCTACTATTATAAAATCTACCTTATTTATTTGTATTTGTGCAAAAGGTTTTGGCACCCCTGTAAAAATCTCACATTGCATGGCTGTTATTCAATTATCCAATTATAAATCTGTCACTGTTGGAACAAAACCCTAAACTGTATATCTCAAAACATTGTAACCTTATAGGATAAGAAAAACACATTTACAGCATATATTTATATAGTCCCTGATGACCAAGCCAAGGTGACAGTAGCAAGGAAACCTCCTTAAGAGCAAGAGGATGGAATCATAACTCAAAAGGGGTAAATATCCTCCTTTGGTTGACTGGATAGGAAAACAATAATAACGAGGGTTACAAACGTGAGAATGAGGTGAGCCTAAGCATTAAACAGAACCATTCAGTTCAACTAATGAAAACCTATAGAAGTCTAAAAGACAGACTGAGAAATAAGTCTGGTGGACTAGCAAGTCATGTTACATGAACATTTCAGGAATTTAGAATAATGTGAGGCATGTGTACAAATACACATGAGACTTTAGGGACTGTTCACTAAAGTGTCTTTGACATCCAAGTGAAGCTTTCTATTGCAACAGGGGGTGAGTGGCACATGGAGTTGAGGCTTTCTAGTATAACAGAAATGTGAATTGCACATACAGGTAAGGCATTGTAGCACAGACAGGTGGGGGGGATGGAGTTAAGCTGCACAGGCAGGTGGCTCCATCGAGAAGCTTCAACCTGCTGAACTTAATTTAGTGTAAGTTACAAACCAGGGGCCGGATTCACGAAAGCGTCCATGTTTCATAAGTTTAGATCCTCACCTTGTCAACACTTACAGCCTGAGACAAGTGTGAGGCTATCGTAAGGTTAAGAAAACATTTAAGAACATAATGTTTTTAAAAATACCACTTGTTCTTAGAACTATTCTTAAGAAGTAGTTAAGAAAAAAAATCTTAAGAAGTTATTTGAAGAATAGTAATTTTTAAACTTTTGTCTTAACTTTTTTCTTAAGAATGAAGTTAAGAAAAAAACACATTTAAGAAGATTTTCTTTCTTAAGAAACTTTTGTGAATCCAGCCCAGGCCCAGGAGGTGCACATAACAAAACACATGAAAAAAACAGCTGGAAAGCATATAATATCTGCATAAAATAGAAGATAGAACAAAATAATGGATGTCTAGCAAAATGGCATGACAATACAGACAGGCATTTAGCTTCAAAGCTAAAAGATATCATAAAGAAAAAGACTTACCAGACTAGTAATGTTAAAATATTATAGCAGGTAATTAAGGCCTTTGGAGATACTCACCAAAACAGTTTTTTGCCCTATTTAAACATGAATTCTGTCTGTTTAAAGTTAAAGAATCAAATTCTTCATTTGTCAGTTAGCTAACTAACATAGCTAATGCTAGCTAGCTAAACCTAAAAAGGCTAGTCATAGAATGAAATAAACATACCAAACTGTCATCCTTTTAGCTTCTCCAGTTGCCTTTTGCCTCTTTAAATCGTCAATGTGCAGCTACAACCATCATTTATTTATTTAAGTCGTGTGAGAGGTTCTTAAAGGGACAGGCACCCTTTCAGTATCATATGAAGATTTTTAGGTTTCTGCTTCAAATATTATAAATAACACACACACACACACACACACACACACACACACACACACACACTTTAAGTTAGTTAAGTGACCCTTATTAGTCCCACAACAGGGAAGTTTCACCTCCGCATTTTTTACCCATCCGTGCAGTGAAACACCACATACACACTAGTGAACACACACACACTAGGGTCAGTGAGCACACTTGCCAGTTGGCTCTGGGTATCAAACCAGTGACCTTCCAGTCACAAGACTGGTTACCTAACCTCCAGGACATGAGTGCCCCCATATATATATATATGTGTGTGTGTGTGTGTGTGTGTGTGTGTGTACAATTCCCAGTAGAATATATTACCTTTTCATGGTCTTAACAACAAATCATTAGTAAGGAAATTAGGGAAATTAACAGATAAAGAAATCATTTTTCTCTTTGATTTCTTAATTAAATGAATTAATTTCAACATTCAACATTCAAATGATCTTAATACACCAAGGTTAAGGACAGGCCACAGTAAAATTCATGTTGACATAACAAAATTAAAGACAGGCTGAAAATCTGTCATAATAACATTAAAATTATGTTGATATGTTGGATTATCTGTGTGCTAGCCACCCATTCAAATCCATAATGGGCTAAATGATCTATTCCCAATGTGGAGTGACCCACAGTTGGCTTGTGTCAGGTTATCTGTAGGCTAGCCCAACAGTGTACTGCTCACCCAAATCCAACAAGGGCCCACCGTGGGTTAACTGAGGTCCAGTGTGAAATGACCCACAGTGGGCCTGTGTCAGGTTATTTGTGGGCGAGCCAGTAGTGTACTGCCCATCCAAATCCATAAAGGAACCACAATGTGTAAAATGATGGGCCCAGTGTGGAGTGCAGTGATGTACCACCCAAACAGAAACCCTTTAGGGCCCACTGTGTGTTCAGGCCAATACAGGGTTATCTGTTAGCCCCGGCACACAAAGCCATCAGATAGTTCTCAGTGGGCTCACATGGGCATATTTGCAAGAAGTGTTAGTGCCAGAACTTCAAGCAAACAGAAATATATTGGGACACTTACTGAGGCTTTACTATTGTTGTGTTACGCAGTTGAGCTGGGGTTTTATAGGTAATCCAGGGTAGGAGGATTCTAATGTTGAACATGAAAACTTGAAAAGATTACCACCTCATATGAGGGGGTTAATTCTGTCAAAAAAATCTAAATGACTATTAAGCCTCTCACACACACCGTCATACTCTCCCACACTCACTTTCAAACCTCTCTCAAATCGAATGTAAGAGAGTATGATGGTGTGAGAGGTTTGATAGTGAGTATGAGAGAATACAATAGTGTGTAAGACGTTTGATAGCGAATGTGAGTAAGAGTATGATGGTGTGTGTGAGTCAGACCTTACATCTCAGAGATAAATATTATTTTGGTAGGTGTCAAAATAGTGTAGCACCGACAGAAAAAAAACATGGGAGGCTGTGATTCTGCTGTGAGAAGTGCTCTTTATGAAACACACCACAAGTTACGCACATAAAGATTGCTGAAGTAGAGGGGGAGGTCACCACCAGCCACTGGCTTCACCCTGACGCATAAAGCAATGTTTATTTATTTAAACAGTCAAACTGCATAAAGCAATGTTTATCAGACATGTTAGCTGCATTACATGACCTTATTACGTGACCACGATGGGGACAGACATGTTAGCTGCATTACATGACCTTATTGCGTGACCAAGATGGAGAAAACAAATTTTTCCTCAAGTCCACTTCTATCCATAAAAATTTTCTTAGTAAAGCTGCAGATTTTAGAATATCCTGCTTGTGACCATTCTTCTAATCATGATGTGAAAAATGGTTAAGTCAAATTTATTTATATAGCCCTTTTTTCAAGCAGCTCTACAAATAATCTGGGTCCAAGCCCCCATAAGCAAGCCAAGGGCTACAGTGGCAATGAAAAACTCCCTAAGAGCAAGAAGAAGAAACCTTCAGAGGAACCAAGACGAGAGAGATAACAAATAGAGATGAGGGGTAGTGTACAAATTATTGCAAATGGCAATCGTCAAAGTCTAAGCATGTTACACCAATATGAAGCCTTATGAGCCAGTATATGATTTTATAGCTAGCAGATAGAACATAAATGATGCCAAATAAGAGTTAATAATGAGAAAACGAAGATAACCAAGGGAGACAGTGGGAAGAAAAAACTTTCTAAGAGCATAAGAAAGAAACTTTGAGAGGAACCAAGACTCAAAAGGAGAGCCCATCCTCCTCTGGTTAACACCAGATAGCAAAACACTAACACGTCAAGAGCAATATGAATAGGAAATAAGATTTTATAATTAATATCCAATACTGAATACATAGAAAATGAAATGACTCAGTTATAAAAATCCATGAACACACATTACAAATGGTTGCTATATAAGGAAACCATCAGACTTATTAGTGCTTAAGCCTTCAACCTGTCTGTGCAAAAGAACTTAAAGCAAATAATTATTAGAAACTTCTTCACAGACCAGGATTTGGGACTGTAGGACTGCATGACGTGCCTGGCTCTAGCTGTCTGGCTCTAGTATCTCTTTTCCTCGCAATGTCTGCGCTCTCAACAATAAACTGCACCACCTCAGACTACAGCTAACTTCCCAGTGTGAACTCAGGAGTTGCTGCGTTTTTGTTTTTATAGAAACGTGTCTCTTTGTTTTTATGGAAATGTGTGACAGCATTTCAGACATGGCAATTCAGCTAGTGGAGCTAGGTGCACACTG